CGGATGGTTACATCTTTCTCCTGTCCAGTGGCTGGGGGTTTTGTGCTTAGTCCTCAAGTGTTCACTCGCCCTTGCCAGCTTTGAGCCCTTCTTTCAGCACAGGTGATCAAAAATGGAAAGCGTGCCTTCAAACTCAGGAAGCATAATTTCTCTCTTAGTATTTCTACTATTGGTATGTCCCCCATTTAGCTTGAGTTTCCCTCTGTGCTACAAAGCAGGGTAGGCACATTTTCCTAATGCTATACTTTAGGCAAGGATTCTGCTGAATCCCTTGCTCCTTATTTCTCTCACCACAAAGACAGAAATTTAAAAATTGTGATTAACTTACTTAAAAGTCCTAAGGACAATGCTTGGTCGTAATATTTGAGTCCAAATAGCTTCTTCTCCCAATCTAAAGATGGACGTCATTTGGATAAAGCTTGTAAGGTTATATATTATGACATTTTAGCATTTTGAATCAAACAATGGGAATGGTAAAACATAGCAATGGTTTAGAAATGCTGGTATGAATTCCAGCCTGGCACTCAATAGCTGTGTGACTCTGGATGGTTTGGAACTCACAAATCTCAGTTCAGTAAACTGGAATGCCTTCCATTCCAAGTTCTGGCATACTTAAAATGCATATTATTTTCAGTGTGTTGCCAAAATACTCAACAAGATAGAGAGAAGCAATATGGAAAATTTATGAGAACTGGGATTTCTAGATCAAAATACAGTATCCAGTCGATATAAATTTACCTGTTGAAGAATAGAAATTTGAACATACTAGATGCACCTAACAAATGTTGGGAAGCCACTCTTCAGGGCAGGATGACAGTGTTGTAGAGGCTACAAAAGAAGCAGAGAATTCCCGTCTACGCATTCAATCTGGTTGGGGAAGAATACAAGTTACCTTCACACTTGAGGCCTTGACGTACCAGGCCCCACAGCATTTCTCCGCAGTGGTCACAGAAAGCGGGAGCGCGGTATGAATGAACAAAGAGAGTGTGGGGACGGATCTGAAAGTCTTCAAAGGTGGCAGAAGCTGTAAAAATATAATATCGAAAATAAATTTAATGATATGCTGATCTGTACACAATTAATATGGAAGCTGGACACACTGTTAGGATTATCATCCACAGGTGTTTGGGTACCAACCAGTGCCTTTGTACCATGTAGAACTACGCGTGTCCAGCTTGGTTCAGAAAGTTATATCTGCTATTTCTGTGCTGGGGAGAAAACACACACACACACACACACACACACACATTGTCCTCCACCAGGTGCCTTGGGAAGCAGGGCCTCAAATCTGTTCACTTGTTGACCACCTGCTGGAATTGTATTTCCACCCCGGATAACCTGTATCAGAATTCAAATGGATTCTCTGACTGTGTGCTTCCGAAGAGCAGCAGTCCATTTGGTTCTATATAGATCAGGTGTTTAAGAGAGCACAATACTCAAGGGCATTTACCTTTTGATTAAATAATATTTACTTATTGAGCTAAATTGTTACTTGGTCTAAAGATTATGTCAGGAAATAATTTTGATTTGACATTTAAAGAATAATTTAGGGCCATAGCCTCAATCGATTCCATAAATCTAGATTAAGAATTTGAAGTTCTATAAAAATCGTTTTCTCTTCCTATCAGGATCTATCTATTGTGTCCCTGATCAGAATGCTCACTAGTGGTGGCCAGACACTCATTCATATGGTCTTAAGGTCTGTAAAAGGCAGTAGGTTTCTGGAGACAATGAGTCCTGTAGTAGATGTCCTTCAGATTCTTCGATTTTCTTCTCACTCTTTTGTTTCAGATGAATGCAGACCAATTTGTATCGTAGATGTTCGCTTGTAAGTTTCTGAGACCACAGGCGCTACTCAATACCCTGAGAGCTAAAAGACAAACTTTAAGAACTACATTATGCCAAATGACTGGATTGCTCCACAAGACTACAATGCTAAAGGAAATTCAACATTTTAAAAATTGATTTTTCCTTCAGCCTTGATAAAAGTAATGTGTTCCAAATGTGCTTTATTGTTGAAAACCACTTAGCAATTTATTAAAACTTTGATTTCACTCCATTTGTAAATTACAGAACGATTATAAAAATAAGCAAAATTCATTGCATTCTAATGGACACTTTACTAAATTATTTAAGTGTGGGAAATAGGATCTGATCAAAGAACGGAGCCAACTAGTTATTTTCTACATGAAGTTCTGATTCACTTTAATGTTATTTATTTTAAAAAGGTTTCAACTGAATTTTATATATATATATGGAAAATTACATATTATGTTCCCCATTTCATGGTTCACAATAGTATAGGTAATGCTTATTGCAAATAAATTGGCTTGAAATATGGTTTGGGTACCAAGCATCTATCTTGGTTGTTTGGCCAAGTGTGTCTAATTTAGAGATTGCTCAATCGCTTTAAAATGATTCCAGCCTATGCAAATTGTTTAGAAGAAAAACATGTTCCAAGAATACTCTGCTAACTATTCCACCTTCTTCTTCCCCTAAAAAGGCCCCTCCCACGAACACACAGCTATGACGGCTCTGCGCTTGTAATTAGTTAAACATACTGTAGTTTTCAAAATAAGGAACTCTAGAATTTGACAATACATGTACAAGTTGCGTTCCGACATTTAAAAAAGTATTCAGGAGGAATATAAAGAATTAAGGTAAGATTTTTCAATAACCAAGCCTTCCCCAATTTATGTCTGGTAACATTTTTTCCCTCCAGTTTTTGAAGGGGATTAACATTCATAAGCTGGTAGCACCCTTGATTCAAGTTTAAATGCCATATTTCTAAAGTTCAATTTTAATATTCTCCTGTTAATTTTAGAATAATTAAATACATTAAAAAAAATAAAACCTACCAGGTATGGTGAGGTTTAACATCCATTTGAAATCAAAGCACAACATCCATTCATTATGAATGTACCTGTTCTGCACCCTGGGGGAAATCAGCATTAGCTGAGTGTATGCATGCAGCCTTGCCTAATCACAAAATTGCACTTCAGAGATAATCACTTAGCACAGGAAAACAAAGTGAATGCCTTAATTCCATTTCATTTAAGCTTTGGAAATCAAAATGGACAGATAAGAAACGGAATATTAACGTGTTTAGAGAACCCAACAGAGGAACAATATGCTATCTGTCGCTCTGTCATAATCTATCAGCCAACCTAAATGAAAAGCATATGACAGGATCGCACACTAAACACAATGGCTCTCTTCTGTGGTGTTTGTGTCTCTCCTGATTTGCTCTATTCACAGTCCATTGTTATGCTCCAGTGTGCAGGAGAGGAGGAAATGAAGTGCTTCCCTCAGTCACTGAGCATTTGAAACAGGTAATTGAGCCCCAAACCCTAAGATAATCAGTAGTACTTCTAAAGTTCATTATAAATTGTTGCACAAAATGGAGTAAACTGTTTGGTTAGTAGTACAGAAGAAAAGAGGCTCCTGAAGCAAAGTAAATCATCTTTGGAGGTCAAAATTATTTCCATCATAAAATAAGATAATGTCAGGACTTCTAAGTCTTTCCTGTTTTTTTCTTTTTCTTTACATTCATACTGGTATCTTTGACAATTTAAGAGAAGCATTAACTCTTACTGGCTCCAGAAATTCAGAAGTGAAATGACAGGAAATAGTTAACATCTGCAGACATGAATGTCATTTAATTGTTGAAATCAATCCATAAGGGGAATATTGTATCCATTGTATAGATGTGACAATTGAGCCTCGCGGACATTACGGAGCTGCCTTCAGTAGGACAGAATGTGCACTCTGGCCAGCCTGACGTCAGAGCCAGGCACCCTCTTCACCATTAGAGTTCAGATGCTTATATCCCTTTGACAATTCAACCACTGTGATTTTTTGCAAAACTTGAAGGTAACATGTAACTAAAACAGCCAATTCGAGGCATGGCATCATTAGATAAGCACTATCCTTCACATTTGATTGATATCAGTCTAGACAAAAGTACAGCAGTTTCAAGTTTTTAAAGCTATAATGTTCTTTGTGGGAAAATTTACATTTTACTTAGCTTCTAGAATTTTGATTGTAGCATCTATATATGACTCTTCACACACATTAAAAAGTTCTTTCAAAACAAAAAACGCAACAACCCATGGCTGTCTAGGTGATTCGTACTCATCATAACCCCACAGGACAAGAGTAAACTGTCCCACGTAGCTCCCAGGCTGTGATCTCGGGATCCAACTACCACATTTATAGAAACAGACCACCAGGATGCCACATTTCTCCTCTGCAGCCCACATTTTTGAACAGCTGACTTTCAGTTACCCGCTGAGCACGTTGCCATTCTACCACCAGGCTCATGCACACATATATCACAAAGAGACATGCTCTCCAGTGTTAAGGTTCTGTGTGGACAAGAAAGCACCTTTATCTAACTTCCATCCATCCATCGGCATCCACATGCAATACATATCCTCTGTGGCATGAATACTCCCATTGGTAGAGGGACTCCTATATGTAGAACAGTTTTTTTCATTTGAGAATATCTCAAGCATTAGAAAGTAAATTATAATTAGTCTCAAACAAGTATGTATACACTCTATTTAGTAGTCATAGATCTAAAACAATCCTTTAAAACTCAGCTGGTTCTTCAAATATATGAAACTATTTTTATATCTTTCTTAAGTCATTTCATATAGATCAAGCAGCCCTGAAACCTTCAAACATTTAGTTAATTTATGTAATTCTTCATTAAAATATTACAAGGGTACAATGTACGCTTTATATATTTTTAAAGATACAGTCTACTGGTGGTAGTTACATATTCAGCTATGAATGGAAACATTGGTGGTTTGAACCCACCAGCAGCTTTCTGGGAAAAAATACCTGATAATTTGCCCCCACACAGTTTCTTGACTAGGAAATCATATTGGCCAATTCTACAGGATGATTATCAGTTGAAATTTACTTGAAGACACACAATCATAACTAAGTAATGGAGTATACATTGAAAACAAAGAGAGGACTAAGAAGTGGTAGCTATTGTTTCGGAGGACACATGAGTAATCATCATGTAAAACACAAGAAGTAATCACGGAAACACCACCCCTCTTCTGATAGAGTCCCAGCAGATGAACTCTTCAGGTTGAAAGCTAAACAGACTAAGTTTAAGCAAGAGGGAGCTAAGAAAAACATAGAGTAGATCGTAAGGACATGGATAGAGTAAAGCTTTCCACCCCTTTGTGGGTGATGTGGTATGCTCAACATGTAAACACTCGTTAGTAATAGGAAGGTGGGAGGTACAAGAAGTCCTGGGAAAATCAGAAGTGGTCAAAAGTGAAATGGAACAGACAGAGGTCAATATCCTAAGCATTCGTGAGCTGAAATGTACTGGCACTGACCATTGTGAGTCAGATAATCAAACGCCTGTAAGGACAGGTAGAAGAGAAATGAAATTACACTCACCACCACAAAGAACATTTCAAGATATATCCCGAATACAACTCTGTCAGTGACTATCCATATGCCTACAAGTGAATTAATCAATTGAGGTGATGGATATTCAAATTTATGCACTAACCACTCGAGCTAAAATTGAAAAAAATTACCAAATTTCCAGTCTGAAACCTGTTAAGCACACAATCAAGATACATTAATTATTACTGGTGCTTGAAATGAAGTTAGAAACAAAGAAGGATCCATAGTTTAAAAATACAACCTGGAGCACATCCTGGCC